TCTTGGAGTTCTGCTAGAGAATGTAGCAGACACTCTGGAGTCTCTGGACTTGCAGGGTTGTAGGATCAAGGACTCTCAGCTCACTGACCTCATCCCTGCCCTCAGCAAGTGCTCCCAGTTCACCAAGGTTAACTTTTGGGACAATGACTTCTCCATGCCCATCCTGAAGGACCTTTTGCATCACACAGCCAACTTGACCAAGATGAATGTGGAGCAGTACCCTGCCCCTCTGCAGTACTATTTTGGTTTGGGTTACATCTCCAAATGGAGATTGCCAAACTTTGTCTCGAGCTCATGGATACACTCAGAGCCATAAGGCAGCCCTAGAGGATCTTGTTTTCCACAGACACCTGCCCTGAATGTGGTGAGTGCTGTGTCTATGATCTAGGGCCCAGACTTTGTCCTTGCTGGCAGTAAATAGAGAACATGACTTCTGGATTTGGGTGCTCTCCCTCTGGGGTCTCCCTCAGTTATTAGCCTCCGTGCTAGGTCCAGAAGCCGTGGAAAGTCTCTCAACTGGCTTCAAGCATCTCCTGAACCAAGGAACTGTATTTGAAGTGTTCCATTGTGATCTCTTTATTAATTGTGTTTTTAAAAAGTCCATATGCCTACCCATTACATTCTCCTTTTTTCAGTATAATCAGGCAGCAATAAAATAATTCAGTATAAAAAAAAATAGAAATGATGATGGAATTGAATGAGGGGGCCACATTCCAGTCCCAGCAAGCAGCAGAACTTAGCAGCTTCAGCCATATGCTTCTGCCTGTAGAATCAAGGATAAAAGAAAGGAGTTTTGGAATCTGCCTCTGCATGTAAGGAAAGCTGATGAGGCCAGGCATGTGTCAGGAGTTTCCCTGAATGGATGCCTAGAGAGGCCATTTCCTGAAGCTGTGAAGATGAAACCTGAGTTGCCTTGCAGAACCCAAGATGTTGGAGATATCAGAGCCATGGATACCTTCCCAGGTGAGCTGATACCAGGGATTGGAACCACCCAAGAGAAAGAAGTGTGCTGCAGTCAACAAAACTGAAAGGAGCTGGAAACATGAAGAGCATTTTGACCTCAGACATGGAGATGCAGAGTTTGGTTTTAGCCCAGCTGGTTTGGGGTCTGGCTTTGGTCCAGTATTTCCTCACTATGCATGCTCCATTCCCTGTGTTTAGGAATGTCAATGGATATCTTGTGCCATTATATGTTGGAAGTATGTGATATGTTTTTGATTTTGATTTTATAGGGAATTACAGTTAAGAGATTGTAGAAATCTCAAAAGAGACTTTGAACTTTGGACTTTTAAACATTGTTGAGACTGTGGTAGACTATGTGGACTTTTGAGGTTGGACTTTTGAGGTTCCATTATAATATGGCTACAAGCTTTTGGGGATCAGGGGGTGGGAATGTGGTAGCCTGAATGTAATTGGACCCCATAAACTCATAGGGAATGGATGATTCTACAGCAGCAGTTCTCAACCTGTGGGTCTCAATCCCTTTGGGGTCACATTTCAGATATCCTGCACATCAGATAGTTACATTATGATTCATAACATTAGCAAAATTAGATTAGGAAGAAGCAATGAAGTAATTTCATGGTTGGGAGTCACCACAGCATGAGGAACTGTATTCAAGTGTCACAGCTTTTGGGAGGTTGAGATCCACTGCTCTACAGTCTGCAGCTTTTCTGTTTGATTAGAAAATTAGTTTGCAACTATGAAGACCTAACTACCTTCTAAATATCATGACACAGGTATGATTAGGGATGGACATAGAGACATTTTATGGCTTGGCTATTGCACAAACTGTGCTTGAGATTTACACACATTTCCACTAGCTTTATTCATTTTATTTAATGTGTGAGTGGTCTGTCTGCGTGTGTGCTTAGTTAAGCCTATGGAGACCAGAAGAGAGGATTAGATCCTCTGGAAATGGAGTTACAGATAGTTGTGAAATACAATGTGGGTGCTAGGGACCAAAGCTGGGTCCTCTGCAAGAGCAACAAGTGTTCTTAACTGCTGAGCCATCTCTCTAGCACCTGTAGTTTGGATTTTTTAAAGAGAGTGTACATGCGTATGCATGTTTATGTGCATGTGTGCATATGTGAGTGTTTTAGGATTTCTATTGCTGTGAAGAGACACCATGACCATGGCAACTCTTAAAGGAAAACATTTAATTGGGGCAGGCTCATAGTTCAGAGGTTTAGTCTGTTATCACCATGGTGGGACAGGTGATGTGCGGGCAGACATGGTGCTGGAGAGGGAGCTGAGAGTTCTGCATCTTGATCTGCAGGAGCAGAAGTGGACTGTGACACTGGGCTTAGCTTGAGCATAGAGGACCTCAAAGCCCACCCCCACAGTGACATGCTTCTTCTGACAAAACTTACTCCAAAAGGCCACACCTCCTAATGGTGCCACTCCCTGTGAGTTTATGGGGTCCCATTACATTCAGGCTACCACATTCCAATTCCTGATCCCCAAAAGCTTGTAGCCATATCATAATGGAACCTCAAAAGTCCACATAGTCTATCATAGTCTCAACAACATTTAAAAGCCCAAAGTTCAAAGTCTCTTTTGAGATTTCTACAATCTCTTAACTAATTCCCTCTAAAATCAAAATCAAAAACAGATCACATACTTCCAATATATGATAGCACAGGATATCCATTGTCATTCCAAAACACAGGGAATGGAGCACACATAGTGAGGAAATACTGGACCAAAGCCAGACCCCAAACCAGCTGGGCTAAAACCAAACTCTGCATCTCCATGTCTGAGGTCAAAATGCTCTTCATGTTTCCAGCTCCTTTCAGTTTTGTTGACTGCAGCACACTTCTTTCTCTTGGATGGTTCCAATCCCTGGTATCAGCTCACCTGGGAAGGTATCCATGCCTCTGGTATCTCCAACATCTTGGGTTCTGCAAGGCAACCCAGGTTTCATCTTCACAGCTTCAGGAAATGGCCTCTCTAGGCATCCATTCAAGCAAACCCCTGACTCATGCTGGCCTCAGCAGTTTTCCTTACATGTCCAAGCAGATTCCATGACTCCTTTCTTTTATCCTTGATTCTACAGGCAGAAGCACGTGGCTGAGGCTGCTAAGTTCTACTGCTTGCTGGGACTGGAACATAACCCTCTCATTCAATTCCATCTTCATCAGCTTTCTATTTTTAATTGTTACCTTCGCAGCCTGAGCTTGGCTGTCTTGGAACTTGCATTGTATGTAGACCAGGCTAGCCTCAAACTCAGAGATCCACCATCCTTTGCCTTTCCAGGGATGGGATTAAAGCCATGCACCATCACACCCCTCTCTTAGCTTTTCTTTAGTTCCTTTTCACTAGTTGGAAACTTAGCTGGGTGGGATCCTGCCCTGAAGTCACCACTACCATTGTTTCATTTCTTGGTCTGTTTGTCTCCTTGTACACAGGGTTATCTCTCTCTATTCTACTTCTTGATGTCCCTTTTCTCAATCTGTACATTTTGTGTTTTTATTTCCTCAGCTTATTTCTTTTCATTATAAATCTTCATCAGAGTTAACACTAGTCACCACACAAAAGAGTCTCTACTAGGCTGTTTTGAGATTTCCTCTGCCAATGGAATTAATCCAAAACTCTTCACTTTAGCCTCAGGCAGACTTTTTGGACAAGGGCCAAAAGCAGCCACATTCTTCACCAAAGTATCACAAGACCAGTCTCTAAGCCATATAGTAACATTCTTCTCCTCAGAACCCTCTTGATTTCCCATAGTCCAAATCACATTCAGCACCAATGTCTTCCATGCTCCTATGGGTATTGTCCATTAATCAGTGCTTAAAGGATTCCACTGCTATCCTAATCCAGATTACAAAAGTCCAAATTCCTCCAAGCAAAAACATGGTCAGGCTTATCACAGCAATACCCTGGTCGCTGGTACCAACTTCTGTCTTAGGGTTTCCTATACAAAGGCCATACCTACTCTAACAAAGCCACACCTCCTAGGAATGCCAGTGCCTATGGGTGTCATTTTCTTTCAGACCACCACACATGTCCACAGAAGAACATGACTTTGGGGACAACCTGAAATCTGTGTTGTGGGTCCTGATCAGACATGCTTGGCTCGAGAATAAACTCTTGTTTCCTTTGGAGTGAGAGCTGCGTGTTTTAATGAACATGAAGGGGCCTCATGATGAGGTTGGTGGTGTTATACAAAGGTTCTCCCCTTCTCTCTCTGTGGCCATCTGCAGACTTAGAAGTCGGTCCTCACCAAGACCGGGACCATGCTGTGTCTCTTAGATTTCAGGCTTCAGAATGTGAGGCACAAAACTTTGTGCCCTGTGGGAGCCCATTTTCAGGTTCCTCGTGGCTTTACCTAGCAGGTCCGCATAGAGAATGATTAGGACCACAGGCCTGAGTGCAGGTGTCTGAGATGGTCTGTACTTGGCTGTGCTGTGGGGAGGTCTGTAGCTCCACCTTTTGGCATCTCTATAAATACCCTGGGGCAGAGACAGTCAGGGCCTGTTGGAATAGGTTCCAGGACCTCTTGGGGCTATTCTTTATTTTCTATCTGTTTATCTCCACAAGCTAAATCCTTCTATCTAATATTTCCTGCTGCTCATACTCAAGAAAACTCTGGGGAACTGTGGGGTTGGTGGGTAAATGCCTCACAGAGCCCTAGATTAAAAGGGCTTGGTATTTTTTCTTCCCTTTAATTGACAGGTAACAAATAGTAAAACTCTGACTTTATTAACTACATTAACTCCTCCCCGTCCCTGTTCTGGCCTTTGCTGTTCCTCCAGTTGCCTCTGTCCACCAAAGGGGAAGTGAGTCAGGAGGAAGCCTGTGTCTCTGATGCCATTGGGCTGCCCATCCTCCACCTGGTTCTTCCCTGAGGATTGGTGTTTGGTTTTTCCAAGGCTCTCCTTCTCACCTGGGGGTTCCTCAATTAACTAGGACTTCCCAGAACATTCTTGAGCCCTGGGTTTGTAGAGTTTGGACCAGCCTCCCCTCATGGTCAAGGCTATATCAAGGCTAGAGTAAACATGAACACCTGTGTCCTCTGCCCTGCTGGGAGAGCACAGCCCTGCTCCTGCTCATACCTCAGAGCTGCTGCCCAGCAGCCCCAGCTAGTGGACCCAGAGGTGTGGGCCAGAGGGCTTTAGGAGGTTCCTGCT